CTCTCGGGGCACTCGGGGCAACGACGGTACTACTCACATTTCTAAAACGCTTTTTGACCTGCACTTAAATGTACACTGCACGTCACTAATCATGTTGCATAGTATAACAGCTCACACATAGGACCCACTTAGTTTTTAGTCAAATTTCCGTGGTGCTTAGCGGCTGGGCTTCACCCAGTTGTACAGTCCCTTTTTTGTAGCTTTAGGCTTAATTTATTCTGTCTCCTGCAGTAATTCGCCGAGGGAAGTGGAAACTATCGTTTTTCATTTCGTTTCGGGAACCAAGACAGTTATTCATGACCCTGAGACGCGCTGGACTTTAGTGTTCCGGTGTTTTCATCGTTGCATCTACTGTAGATCCTTACAGGAGTTGCAGCGGTTTTGGGAGGAGGTGGCGGGCTTGCCCCATTAAAAATAAAATCATGTTACGTAGACATAAATATATACGCAGTAATAGATTTTGTGATGATAGAAGTATTAGTACTTCTATTGATATCGGCTTTTGTTAGCAAAAGCCGATATCAATAGGCCCGACACGGGAATCTAAATTTTCTCAACAGTCGCACTGGTTCTGTCTGACACATGTAAAACTCTTTACTTAATTTAAACCGCTAATCTAGACAGGAACTATCATGAAACTAAACAACACGTCCTCAGACTTAGGAAGTTAAATGTCTAGGCTAAATCTAGATTTAACTGGTGACATCCAGACTGAGAATGAAGTAACGGAAGAAGATGATTAGATTAGTCTCTTTATTTGTGCATAAAAGTATAGTCTGGGATTCTTTTCAATTAAGACTTGTCTTATCCTTACTTAATATTATAAGTCGGAAAGTGAGTTTGTTTGTTTGTTTGTTCCGCTTTCACACCGTAACTACTAAACCGATTGCTTTGAATTTTTGCAGACGTAAAGTTAGAAGTCCGGATTAAATAATAGGGTACTTTTTATCCCAGAAAACAAAAGAATTGGTATAGATGGCGCTGTGTGTATTGGTATAGGCTACTTGTATCCTTTTGTGACGCGAGCGAAGCCGCGGGTAAAAGCTAGTAAGTCATATAGACAACACGGTTAGTGTGGTGGCTGGGCAACCGGCTGCCACGCAACGTGTCGCGGGTTCGATCCCCGCACGGAGCAACTCTGTGTGTGATCCACAGATTGTTGTTCCGGGTCCGAGTGTCATGTGTATGTGAACGCACGAACGAACGTATGTGATGTATGTTTGTAAACGCACCCACTACACAGGAGAAAATCCTAGTTTGGGGAAACATTTTTTTTTACCCAAAAAAAGTGTAACGATAATTATAAAGTCTCAATTTTTGACATAAAGATGATATTTTCTATCGAACTATTAGACACTAAAAAGTTATAGTAAGTAGGTTTCATTTTTTAATAACTCATTGGTATTGTTATTGCTCCACGACAACAATTTTGATTTGACGGTGATGATTGCTTCATCTAGTGAGATCAAAGCATAGGAATACACTAAAAGAGCCCGATTGCCTACCACCGGGTAGAAATCGTTTAAAAATGTACTTTGCCCGACTCGGGAACTAATTTAAAACACTCATTAACGCCATACTGCCTGTTGGCCGTGTAGGCGCAAGTGCGACTATCGGATTCGATTCCTGAGTCAGGCAAAGTATTACTGGTTTTTAAAAAAATCTCAGTGTTTGCACGGAGTCTGGAAGTGTGCCCGGTATATGGCAATAGGCTCACCCCATATTACGTGGGACTCATAACATAAATAGTGAAAAGTGGGTGTTACATTGTGCAGTGGCATTAAGTGCCGTAATGTGCACCTCTGCCTACATATTCGAGAATAAAAGGCGTGATGTTACGTTTATTAACGCCATATCACCGCCGGAAACAAACTGCTTAAACGTTGCTATATTTAAACAAGCTCAGTGCAATACTTTATAGCTTTTTGCTTACTAAACTAAAATTGGACCTAGTTGACCATTCTGAGAATACTAACACAGCTGTACTACAACTCTCAAAGTAGAAAAATCATCCTTATGTTCAAGAGAAATAAGATTGATATTAAGATGTGATCTTTACTAGATCTCTTGAGAACACAAATCGCCCTTAATACTGAAAGGAATAAGGTTTAAATCAAGTTGTGTAGTTGATTAGATGGTGGCTGTGCAAGTTCAATTACATTGTAAACTTTTAGCTTATGGTTTTAACTTTTTAAATCTTTTGTTTATTGTACTGAGATTTGTGATGTGTGATATTAATGGTTAATAGAGAGACGGTGGTTAAATGCATGATGCTGTAGTTTTTATCAGTTTATGTACTTAAAGATTTTATGAGATAAGCCGGTAAACGAGCAGACGGGTCACCTGATGGTAAGCGATCGGCGTCGCCCATGGACACCTGAAACACTAGAGGCGTTACAAGTGCGTTACCAGGTGGTTACCAGCCTTTTAGGAATTGAGAATTTGAGGATTCAGGGATTGGGGAGACTGGGGAGGGGGTGGGGTAATCGGGCCTCCGGTAACCTCACTGACAGGATGAAACACAACGCAAGCGTTGTTTCACGTCGGTTTTCTGTGAGGCCGTAGTATCAGTCCGGTCGAACCAGCCCATTCATGCATGCAAGCATGGCTCTAATTTATGGAAGTCTGTCATAAAATCAAATAATGGAAGTGTGATTATCTATACTTATAATAAATCTGTAGAGAGTTCAATTCTGTATATGAAATATATTTCCAAAATAACTATCAGGAATGATTAAGGATATAACGTTTATACAAACGTTATAGACACAAAAACTACTCGACGAATTTTAACGAAACTTTGTACTTACAATTGTTTTTCATACTCCTGAGCTGGTTATAGTATACTTTTCATCACGCTACAATCAATAGGAGCAGAGCAGTGAAGGGAAATGTTAGGAAAACCGGAGAAGTAACTCCATCACGCAAAAACTATCAGTGTGATTACGATGAATCTTGGTATGATTATACTTTAATATCCTGGGCATCACTCTTTTTATCCCGAAGAATATATACACTAAAAACACACTTAATATGCAGCTCGATTCCTAGACACAAGAACTGTACCAAACGTTGTTAACTAGTTTATCGAATGTTACGTTGCCCGATGTGCCTAGCTTCACAGACGGACTGACAGATTATTATTTATTTGTATTGTAACTTTCGTGAGACATACTATATAAATTATTATGTTTTCGGTTTACTCACGTAATAATTTGACGAGGAACTCGACTAGTTTCAAGCCATGCTCGTCAAATTATTACGTGAGTAAGCCGAAAACATAATAACTAATTTATTATTTATTTTATATTTGTTGACGTTTCAAAAGTACCAAATTATGGTTTAATTGAAATAAATGCTTATGTGTTTGAGTTTGTGGACATTGCGCTGTAACTGTAGAACCGATAGTCGAAATGAACTTGAAACGCTATCAACTATAAACGGGAAAAAAATTGAATTTGTACTATATTTGTGTGTTTGCGTGTTTGTCTATGTCACTTCAAAATGACTGAAGAGTCCAGGATGAAATTTGGAACTTTTGGAACTTTTACCCCTTTTTTTAAGGGGTGAAAATCATCGAATGACTGCTCCCGCCTGGGTGAGGCGGGAGGGAGTGTCAATATCTTACTGACTGAAAACCTCCCAGTTCCTTCTCCTGCACGTCGAGCCGGTTACCCGTTTACCCCTTAGAACGCGAGCGAAGCCGCTTGCAGGAGCTACTTTGTAAATATTTTAGAGAAAAGCATTTATTTTGACTAAGGAAAATATCCAACTATTGCCCTAAACCTATCATTGGAAGAACGACGTAATAGAAAGTCGCAGTAACCTCTTCTTCATTAAAAACAACCATATTATAATGTTTATTTTAATAAATTACTCGGAAATGTGATGAAAAGCTTATATCGGGCAGTAGGTAGACGTAGAAATAACATAAATACACCATTTTGTAAGCGGCCATCATAAAACACGCACTTACGTAACTGTAAACAAAACAAGTGAATTCCTTTGGCTGTATTGGCTGTGTATGTAATGAAATGAAGTATATTAATGTGTTTGTGTATGTATTGGGCGAATTTTTCGTTGTTTTCATTTTCAAATGTATTTTTATAGACCTTTAGCTTTTGCCCTTAGATGTAACAGCAGTTTTTATTGTCTTCGTTTAAATTACATAATATAACATCACGCCTTTTTATCTCCGAAGGGGTTGACACATAGAACACCGCCGGTGGCCTGTGTTGCTCTATGGGTTGGCAGAGGTGCACATTACGGCAATTAATGCCACTGTACAATGTAACACCCACTATTCAATGTTTATGTTATGAGTCCCATGTAATAGGGGGTGAGCCTATTGCCATATACCGGGCACATTTCCAGACTCCGTTCTACTACTGAGATATTTTTAAAACCCAGTAACCCGGGCAAAGTACTACTGAGTTTTATAAATTCTCAGTAGTAGCACGGAGTCTGGAATTGTGCCCGGTATATGGCAATAGACTAACCCTCTATTACATGGGACTCATAACATAAATAGTGAAAAGTGGGTGTTACATTGTACAAGTAGCATAATGTACACCTCTGCCTACCCCTCCGGGGATAAAAGGCGTGATGTTATGTTATGTACCTATGTTTATATTTTCATTTGCCGTCCCCATGTGTCTTTTAAGAAATTTTCTGACAGTCTCTCAGTCTTTAAAATTTAGAGCGCATATGCATTAATACTTATTCATTTATTTACTGCTATGTTTACAATCATACTAGGGTGGTTTTAATGCCGGATGGTATTGCCAGGTTTGAGCGTTTTATGTTTACGCTTACATAATCTTCTATAACTTCCTAAATTAATAATTATAGACGCAAAATGAAATTTAATAACTTTAAAATAATTGGGACACTAATATTGTAATGGTTTTTATGAACATCGTTATAGCTTGAAGTGATTATTATAATGACCAATTAAAAATTCCAGTTAGTAGTTACTGTTTTGTTTCTTAAAAGCTTACCTCGCAAACGCACGCGACTTGCTCCTGTGTGAAGCCGAAACTCGGCAGGGGAGCATCTCTTGGGGGGCTCGACTCCCGCTGACCCCATTCGGGGCCCCCCAACATGTCCAAATGCTCGTCTCCAGCCACTTTGATGCAATTTCACACCAATTTCGGAGAAAAATTTACAAAAATAGTTGTTTTCCCACAAACTATAAGAACTGTCATTCACTTTCCCGCACTTTTGTTTTTTTAATAACGTTTTCAAAGTTCGGTATATCAAGTACGTTTAAAAATCAAATGTTTGCACTTCCACTGTTTTTCGAAAATACTTTAAACGGTAAATAAACTCAAAAAGGCGGCAGTCCCAAAAATGTTTAAACAAAAGCGATCACCTTTTAAACGTCGATTACTTATTTGTGTTCCGATTTCGAAAATGGTTTGAAGTTTGTTTATGAATACGAGTGAGTTGTATTTGACGTTATTCTTTTTTAATTTTATTTTTTAATTCACTCCCAGTCTCTGTCTGGTTAAAGTCCGTTCACACCATGCAGTTTTTTATGTTAAATAAATGCTTTTTAAATTATTTTTGGTTTGATGTGTTTCACTCCGATATTGGTTTTCTCTTCTTTTTCATTTTATTTCAATTACTGCTGACGGCCACTGCGTTCACCTGTAACAAGAAAATAATTTTAATTAAGACCCTGCTATTTAAGGTCGTAAGTAAAACAAAGCAAAGAACATTATATTTAAAATATGGTAAAAATTAATACCCCTTAGCGCCCTTAGGGTACGGAAACCACTATAGGAAGACAATTACGACGTCATGCCTAATAAAATTAGCACCTTTCACAGAATATATTATTTTGATATTTAATATTTATGTTCCCCAACTAAAACAGTAAGTGTCGTAGGTCATTATTAGTTTTATCATCCCTCATTTTAAACGTTACGATTTGTCTACGATGAAATTTCGCAAAGCCGCAATCAGGGTGTTAGTATTAAAGTGTATAAATTGTTCAATATATCAACAGAGGTTTTTTATTATTTGTACATCGTAGCAAATATAAACACTTTTTTAAAAGGACACATTTACATTGCAAGTAATCATTCGATTATATCTTAGAGCAATAAAAACATATTACTTACTAATAACACTATTTTCAAATCTATACGATACGGTAGTGCATTAATATTAATGAGAATTAGGGATGGGCCAACAATTGACCCTTGGGGAACACCCACCGGTTTTTTAAAGGTCTGCGTTTTGAGTGAGACGTTTGGAACTTTAAATTATTGTAACATGTTGAATTTAGGCAAATCATGTTTCCTAACTAGTTAAACTTAAATATTACAGACTTTATGGTAAATTATGTGGGAATCTATCAACATTAGTCTACGTTAAAACGAATATCAACTGAATCAAATGTATTTTTGAGAATGTTATTTTTTCGCATAGCAAAACTACGAAGTAAACAAACATTTGGCAATATTTCAGGTTCATAGAATAGCCGGGACCTTGGAAAATATACGATGATTGAAAAACAGCAATAATAACAAACTTTTAAATTGAATTTTGCATAAAACTGAAAAGTGTTGTGAAAAGTAGAATTATACATAAGTCTGCCTTGTGTGATGTGAATTAAGTGATGTAAATGCTTTCAATTAACTGTAATTACATAATAACTATTCATTAAAATTTCGATGTCACAGCTTAGCTTTAAATAAACTTCCTCGTAGTCATAAGTATTTGTATTCTAACAGGACTCCACTTAAACTAATAAATTCACTATGAATTCCTTCCCCTATATAAAACCCCACAGTCAGAGCACATTAAATCAATTTCTCATCGCAATCAACCACAAAATCTTCAAAAAAGGGGTCCTACCATCAATTTTCCATATTTTTATAACCAAAAAAAACATACCAACACGTACTTTGAAGCATTACAAAGATTCAGTGACGCGACAACGCAAGATTTAGTACAATATCTTATAAAACAATCGAAAAATTTGTGTTACAATGCCTAAAAAGCTCTGTAAAGACAAAGTTTACTTCTATTTCTGTCTCTTTCTGTTCCATAGCTTTGATAAAGTGTGAAAGAGATGCAGGAGGGTCGTCAGGGGGCATGATGTTAAATGTTTGGTGTTTTAAGTAATTTTTATCATCGACACGATCTTTAGGGAGAGCTCCTTGATATATAGAGTTGACGGGTTAACAGTGATGTACATTTATTGTCGATGTTTATTTCTTGTTTTGTCTCCTGCCAGTTTTAGCGGATAAATTGTGTCATAGACAATGAAACGGTTTTGTTATTTTTTTTTAAAGGTCGTTGACATGGGAGTGGACTGTAAGTTTGAGATTTTGTGGCGATTAATTCATATAAGTAAATAAAGTACTTGTAATTAACGTAAGTTTGACCGTAATCTAGTCTCGCTTTCTGACATACACCCGTAATAAAATAGATACAAAAAAATATAAGTATTACGATATATATTATTTGCAAAAACAAAATAGAACAAGTCATTACGGAAAATTTCTACCGACACGAATAAAAAAAACAAATTCGTAATAAATAAATATATAGGGTCACTTTGTAGAAAACATCGGACGTCGCAAAACGTCTCTAAAACACATTTTAAATTTAGAATCATTGAAGAAATTTAGGTTGCGTTTTGTAGTCACATTGTAACGTATTTGGAAAGCTTCCAAATGGTTCCTATTCGTCAACTGAAATACTTTAAGATACTCAAATTAATACATTTCTTATAGAAGCAAAAATATGTATGAAATAAATATAAATTCTGTTTTGTAAATGTCATTTTGAAACCTGACAGAGATTTTATTATCTGTGTATTTGCGTAACCTCTTTTATCTATGATCAAAATCAGAGATGGCTATCAGACTGAGACGAGAAACGTTCATTCTATTTTAAATCAATTAACTTATAAAATATAAAATATTTTGTGATAACAATCTATACAATGTTTACAATTAATGATATAACGTTCAGCTTTTTACATAAAAATACATAATACATGTGGAAGATAAAAATTAATCCTCATTAATATCATAAATGCAAATCGATACCTATGTTTGTTTATCACGTCAAACATCTAAACTACTGAGTTGATTTTGATGACTCCAAAAGGACTAATCTGAGCCTAAAGATGATATCGAGAGTATGAAACATAAAGGAATATTTTATTTTTAACTTTTCTATGGAAAACCGTAGCTTAAGCCTTTAAATGCCGATAAAAACTGTTAAAGGCCAATCCTCCGCTAGCGTCGGACATCATTGTCCAACACGGCATTCAATGTGTTAAAAGAGTATCGAATGAATCATCGAATAATTTGTTTACTCATCTTTTTTTTTGCAAACTACAATATTTCCAAGAAACACCACACTAGTGATGTCCACTCATAAACATGCGATAAAATTTGTAATTCTCCAATTAACATTCTCGTAGTCCGGTCCGTTGGCGCCACTACACAGTATTTTACATTAATAACGACAATCGACATCGCAAGCCCCATCACTATTACCCCACGTGGCGTCCGCGATCCTTATCGAGCAACACCAGCTGTAAAACCGAAGATTTATCGATATTTTACCACTCCACGATGGTCGAACAAATCACAGCACTATTTAGCGATTCGATTCCTCGATATACCAATTATTCGGTTGTGAGTTTGTCAACTGATTTTTTTTAAGATTAAATTCTGTTTTGACTGATTTTGGTTTGATAAAATAACTGAATTAATTAATTGGCCATCTTATATGCGTTTAAGTGGGAATGTCGTCCTATTCATTTAATCCAAGTTATTTGATAACAATAATATATTAATCAAGATTATTACAGCTTAACCGTCACAGACATGACTGAACGGAGTTGAACTGAGTTTGAACGGAGCTGAAAGTCATTGGGTCAGGTAAATATTTAGCAAATCATGAATCTTAGTGGTAGCCCATTCTCTAATGTCTATATCCCAGTAACAGATTGGGCAAAGTATTATTGGATTTTAACTCCGTGTCGGTCTGCAGTCCCATCGGGTTCAGAGAGTAAGGAAACAAAGAGTGTATCTGTGTTTGCACACACACTTATGCACTGTAATATGTCCTGCGTAGTGGGCTAATCTAGTTACTCAAACTGGCCACCATGAGCGAAAATCGATCGGGAGCTTTATTGGATGTTACCAGTCGATCAAACAATGTGCTCTATCCCTATCTGTTTCTCTGTTATGGCACATCCTCACTCAACCAACGAAGCAGATAGCTAAGAAATATATCGAACAACTTCCAAAAATAATTGAAAACTCAACTGTCATAAAACAAATTCTAATCAAGCAATTAATCTTTATAACTTTAGACTATAAAGTCTATTTATAATGTTTTTTAAAAAGGAGGAAAAGTTTTCGTTATGAATTCCTCGCCTTTAACATAACATTCCACGATAAAAATATTTGTTTCATTCATCCAAATATATTAGTCTGCATAGGTAACCTATTTTAATCTTAGTCTAAGTATACATGAAGTCTAGACGGAGGGAGACTAGTGTCTTTACGTGTGTGCATTAAGATTTCAACTTTTATTAACCAGGAACGAAACAATGTTTGTAAAATCGATATCTTTTACTATCTGATTCGTACGCAAATAATTATTATATAAACTATGAATAAAAAAAACTTCAATCCCCGTTTTGGGGGTTAGTTCAATATAACATCATATAACATCACGCCTTTTATCCCCGAAGGGGTAGGCAGAGGTGCACATTACGGCACTTAATGCCACTGTACAATGTAACACCCACTTTTCACTATATGTATATGTTATGAGTCCCATGTAATAGGGGGTGAGCCTATTGTCATATACCGGGCACAATTCCAGACTCCGTGCTACTACTGAGAATTTTGAAAAATCCCAGTAATACTTTGCCCGACCCGGGAATCGAACCCGAGACCCCTTGCCCGGCAGTCGCACTTGCGACCACTCGGCCAACGAGGCAGAGGAGGGTTAGTTCAATTTTAAAAAAAAAATATATTTTGTAAGGAGACAAGGAGTAAGGTAGCTTAAAAGAAGCAGTTCGGTTTTTTTCCAGTTTTTATGTTTCATTATGGAATGATCT